GTATTAATAGAGAAGAAATAACAGAATAAAGGTAAATTCTAAAGATAATGATGAATTGGAGATACAGCCAGAAGGATGTGTTAGTCGAAGACTAACACGAAGACTAACTAAAATAAAAATGAAATAACCCGTATATCTCATTCTCTAGTGCTTTTTAGAATTTACTTTTATTCTGCTATTTCTTTTCCTTGTTTGTTAGTATCATCGTGTGTTCCGTTTACTTTAACTACCGTTAGACGGACTATTTTATATGTTCCTTTATACGTACAAGTTTCGTGTATAAATAACATCTCTCTTTATAGCCTATTATGCATTTTTCTGATGGTCAATTAGACTGTTCGAAACATAAAAACGAAGATGACAAGTAAATATTAAAAATACACTATATAAAAGGTAGCCCAGAAGTCCTGTCTCATTCAATATTTTCTCAATATCTCGGTCAAGATTGACCGACAAGTGTCAATCTCCTTTTAAACAGAAACCTCATCCAGTCTCTATACAAACCACATTGAACATTTCTTTGTATATTACAAGAATAAAAAATATAAAGGACATACAGGAAAGTTTCAATATCGATTACTTTCAAACCTGAAGCGCAACCAAAAAATATTTATTTTGAACACGGTGCTATGCGTTAAAGTGGAATCGAAATGTATTTTCTGGTGCTCCAGAATATCAGCTTTCGTTTCGTGTACCATAAGTTCGCTAGAAACTTTTTTCCTGCCACGAACAAAGATTTTACTAAAAGAAAAAACAGGAAAAATTTGATTTTTTCGCCTTGGCACAGGAAACGAAACGGGACTAGTCGACTTTCGCTATTCGGATGTAACAGAAAAACCATTTTGCTTCAAGATAAACCAGATCTAAAGTCATAATATGTGGTTTGGACGAAATAGCAAAAATTTCCTAAGTGCCTCAAAACTGCGGTTAGAAAATTTAGATTTTGGGCAAAATCGCTAAAAGAAAAAAAATCCTTCTGCGATCGCTTGAATCTATGAATGGTCTTTAATATAGCCAGTTGATAGAGCTTTTCGAGAACTACAAAATGGTCATTTCCTTTTTTTCTATATCGCAAAGTCGAAGGAACTGAAATTGAAAACACCTGTTTTTTCGGTTTGAAAGTAATCGATATTGAAGCTTCCCGTATTTCCTCTATATTTTTTCATTTTTATAAAGAAATGTTCAATATGTTTCGTATAGATAACTGAATGAGGTTTCTTTTTAAAAGAAGACTGCGACTTCTTCTGAGAAAAATGAAATAACCCATATATCTCATTCTCTAGTTCTTTTTAGAATTTACTTTTATTCTGCTATTTCTTTTCCTTGTTTGTTAGTATCATCGACAAGTAAAATAAGCACTATTTATGCTATTTTTACTAGAAAACTTCATAAGATCTTCTTTTACCTGTTGCATGTATCTCAGTTTTGGTCCACAGATGTTTATTATGGCGTATTCGAGATAGATTTTTAAATCGATCTCTGAATAATCTCTCCAAAGTATTATTGTCCTGTACCTTTTAGCATCAGAAATCCAAATGAATTCATCATTCAATGATAAACGAACCTTCCTTCTAATCTTGAAACATGAACGATATAAGGAAGCGAAAGTGTCAGCGCGCAGCATAAAAAAAGACTTTCTTTGATAACCAAGAAAGCCCACTCAAGTATTTTAGATATCCTTTTCCCCACTAAAGGTGAGCAGCAGGAACGCTTACCTTTTTTCTTATCATTTAGTGGAAAATTATGCTGTTCAGTTGGTTCAGAGACACGAGAGTAAAACGATTGTAAGCTTTGAAAAATCCACCTATTTTTTAATCTGAATATATAATTTTTTTTAGTTCTATGCCGTAGGTGTAGTCTGTAAATTTTTCTGAAAATGTGCGCGTTAGACACGACTTACAGTTTCATATGTAACTTTGTATATTAATATCCATACAACTGTTCAGATACATCTTTGATAAAAAACTATCACTATGAAAAAGTGTGGTTCAAAGCGGAACGAGCCACCTCAACTATGATATTTGGAATAAACATCGTCGCTTACATACAGTCATGTATGTTCAAGAAAAAACGGTCCTTCACTTGGGAAGGTTCCTTTGTGAGTTGAGTATCGCCTCTTTTTTGTTCCTTCTGTGATTTATCTTTTTCTTTTTGCTTCTCCTCTCTCTGATTCTTTTTAACTTATTAATTTTGTCTTGTTGTGAGAAGGTTGAGAACGAAGAGTTACATTTGTTCTTCTTGTCGCACATGAATTTAGATAGCCCTGGTAGAAATGAGCTGAGCCAGAGTCTCCGCCATGTGACAGAAAAGAAAGCCTGTTTTTTGCCCTCAGATAGATCTCTTACCATCTAAAATATTCCTTCACAAATGATAATAGTTATTTATTTTTTTTCATCGTATAAAATTTGATCAATGACAATAACAAGTGATAGAATAAATGGTTGGTCTTCATTAGCTGCTACTTCCACACCATATGTATCACTGAGAGAAAATATTTTCTTATTAACCATCGCCACTACTTGTCCATTCTTCACTAATTGAAATTCATGTGCAAAAATATCAACACCTTGAAGTGCATATGATCCAAATAAAGAGCTTTCTATTTCAAATTTGGGTCGTAAAAATGAAAATTTCTTTTTGACAACAGCCAGTAGACCGTCATTTGACGCAGCCAAAATATTAAATGTTGGATGAAGATGTAACAGTTCCTGACGAATTTTAATCAACGGTATGCCATTCGTATCTTCTAACATTAATTTATCACCCATACTAAATAATTTTGACCGAACGATAAATTGATCATTACCATATTCGTCTTTTATTTTAAAATTATCACCAAAACTAAATATTTTCTCTCGTATTTGATATCGACGTGTTCCACTAGCCGCCATTTCTCGTTCTGTTCACTCTGTTGAATGAGAGACATTATATACGCTCTTTTATTCTTGTTCTTAAGTGTGGGTGTAAATAAATACAACGCGAACACATAGTAGTTTATTCATTCTCGAGGCATATTTTGGACGTCATTTACATCTCTTTTTTCTTTCTAATCTCATGACTAACAAAAAGAACGTCATACGATGAATAGAATAAGAAATTAGAAAAAATAAGGTGAGTAACTCAGACTGTAAAAGGGAGATCTTTTGAAAGAACAGAAAGAGTATTCAATGGAAAAAGAATCGAAGACAGGTAACATGATTACAGGTAAAAGACTTCTGTATATAAAAAAATGAATAAAACCACAACGCAAAATTCATGATAACACCTGATGTCTTTGTATTGAATGGCAGAAAAGCCTCTTATGTATTAAAGTGGTGGTGTTATTAAAAATCCTCAATGGACAACTATTGGATGTTCTGAATAAGATAATTTTTGACTCTCATAATTAGATCATATTAGATTCAATTGAAAGTGTTTTATATTCAGTCAAAAGAAAAGCAATACGGCTTCTCCACGTAACGCGACACTTCAGGTATTAAGTATTTATTTCAAAACTTTAAATAAACGTTTATGCCATGTTATAGAGCATGTTCGAAAGTGTAAGAAAACACATTGTTATTCAAGAAATTATTTTTTTTGGGTCTTAAAAAATGTATACAGTAATCCTCATTTATCACACCATTGCCCTAGACAAGAATTTTTTGCTAAAACTGATAGGATTCTTATAAGAATCTTATCAGTTTCTTATATAAGATTGTTTAAGATTTCCCATCGACAGTCGTAAGTGTCTTATA